AACAAGTAAAAGAAGAAGAAGAAGAAGGAAAAAAAAAAAGTTTAGAGAGCCACTGGAAAAGAGAAAAGAAAAGAAAGAAAAAAAAATCCTGGAGGAAGTTTAGAGAGCCGCGGGTTAAAAGTATTTTGGATGAGATTCTAAGATGTGGCCGCCAAGACGTATTGAATAATTTAAGGGAACGAAAAAGGAAAGGGAAGGGGAAGGGCGAGGGGGAAGGGGAGGGGCAAGGGGGAGGGGGAGGGCAAGGGGGAGGGGTAGGGGAGTGGAGGAAAGGGTAGGGAAGGAAAGGAAAGGAAAATAAAAGAAAGGAAAAGAAAGGGAAGGGAAATGAAAAGAAGGGAAGGGAGGAAAAGGAAGGGAAGGAAAAGGGGAGAGGAGATGAGAGGAGAGGAGAGGAGATGAGAGGAGATGAGAGAGAGAGAAGAGAGGAGAAGAGAGGAGAAGAGAGGAGAGAGAGAGGAGAGGAGAGGAGAGGAGAGGAGGGGGGAGGTAAGGAAAAGAAAAGGGAAAGGAAGAGAAGAAAAGAAAAGAAAAGAAAAGAGAAGAGAAGAAAAGAGAAGAGAAGAAAAGAAGAGAAAGAGAAAGAAAGAAAAGAGAAGAGAAGAGAAGAAAGAAAGAAAGAGAAGAGAAGAGAAGAGAAGAGAAGAGAAAGGAAGGGAAGGGAAAGGGAGGGAAGGGAGGGAAACGAAAAGGATAGGAAAAGAAGTGAAGCGAAGAGAAGATAACGAAGAGAAGAAAAAGAGAGAGGAATGGAAGGAAATGGAAGAAAAGGATAGAAGGGAAAAAGAAGGGATTGATGGTAAATGGAAGGAATCTACAGAATGTGCAAAAAGCAAGAAGATGAATGAGGGAAAAGAGTAGGGGTTGGAGAGGGGGGGGGGAGAGGGAAAGCACGAAAGAAAGAAATAAGAAGAGAAAGGATGGAAAGCAAGGGGAAAGGAAATAGTACAGAGAATAAAAGAGAATTCCTAATGATATTGATCACAGAAATGTTTATCGAGCCAAAGTTTTACACCCAATCGTAAAATAGCATACATGTAGAAGCAGCTAAGCCACCTGGGAGTTTCAATATTTCAATGCTCTTTTGAGAAGGCAGCTGATTAGTAGGACTGGATTTTAAAAGAAGTATATGAAAGTCTCCCCCTAAAAAAACAACAACAAAAGGTGAACCATATGACCAAGATACAAAAAAAAGAAAAAAAAAGAAAAAGAAAAAAAAAGGAAAGGTAAAAAGTTACTAGAAACTAGAATGAAAATAAAAGTAAAAAAAACATGAAGGAAGATAAGGGGATGGAAGCAGGAAATGATAGAACGAATGAATAAATAGATGAATGGAAGGAAGGAAGAGAGAAAAGAAGGAAGGAAAGGAAAAAAAGACCAAAAGGGAAAGAGAGTAAGGAAGGGCAGATCATAAAACGTTAATCCGTCAATCTTGCTGAAATTCGATTTTACTTTTCTTTGACAGATTCATAAAAGAGTTCTGTAAACAAACCTCTGGCTCCCAACCCGACCGAATGTGTTGCGTTTTATTTGCTCGCTTCGTTTCATTTCTAAGCAGAATTCTCGGGGATCTGTCATATGTACCTGCAAGAAGAAGGAAGAAGAGGAAGAAGGAAGAGGAGGAGGAGGAGAAGAAGAAGAAGAAGAAGAAGAAGAAGAAGAAGAAGAAGAAGAAGAAGAAGAAGAAGAAGAAGAAGGGGAAGGGGAAGGGGAAGGGGAAGGGGAAGGGGAAAGGAAAGGGGAAGGAGAAAGGGAAAGAAAAGGAGAAGGAAGAGAATAAGGAAGTTAAAGAAAGAGAAGGAGAAGCGGAAGGGGAAGAAAGAGTAGGAGAAGGAGAAAGGGAAGGGAAAAAGAAATAGAAAAAGAAGAAGAAGGAAAAGGGAAAGGGAAAGGGAAAGGGGAAGGGGAAGGGGAAGGGGAAGAGGAAGGGGAAGGGGAAAGGGAAAGGGAAAGAAAAGGGGAAGGAAGAGAAGAAGGAAATTAAGAAAGAGAAGGAGAAGCGGAAGGGCAAGAAAGAGTAGGAGAAGGAGAAAGGGAAGGCGAAGGCGAAAGAGGAGGAGGAAAAGGAAAGAAGAGTTTAAAGTTTAAATCTAAGTCTAAGTGTAGAAGAAGAAAAAAAAGAGACGAAGAAGAACAAGTAGAGCGAAGAAGGGATAGAGAAGAAGATAAAAAAGAAGAAAAAGAAAGAGAAAAAGAAGAAGTAAAAGTAAAAGTAAAAGTAAAAGTAAGAAGTAAGAAGAAAAAGAAAAAGAAAAAGAAGAAGAAAAAAGAAAGAAGAAGAAGAAGAAAAGAAAAAGAAAAAGAAAAAGAAAAGAAGAAGAAGAAGAAGAAGAAGAAGAAAGGAAAAAGAAAAAGAAGAAGAAGAAGGATCAAAACAACAAGAAAAGAAAAGAAAATGAAAGAAAGGAAGAGACGAAAAACAAGAGAAACGAGAAGACGGTAAAGGAGAAGGCGAACGTCCAACACAACATACCTTACTGCCTTAACTAACCATTAATAGTTTTAAAATGATTGGTTATCCACTCGGTCAAAGAGCCTCGAGAAGGTACAGGTTTATAAAACATGGGATTTCCGAGAAAATCAGAGAGCGAGGATACGTGAATGAGAGGGGGAGGTAGATAGATAGATAGAATCGATGAATCATGTAAGTGAAGTGGAGAGGGAGAGAGGAAGGGAAACGAGAGAGGGAGAAGGGGAATGAAGTAAGGAAGAGGGGGGGAGGAAATCTAGTTCCTGGACACTGGCAAAGGATGTTGCTATCGCGGTGTCTACTCTCTCCCACTCTACCTCGATAAGCTAAGTGGTAATGCTCAACAACACTCTCTCCTCTAGCCTAGAGTAAAAGTTATAGATATGAAAAATAAAAGGGAGAGGGAGGGGGAGGGAGAGGGAGGGGGAGAGGGAGGGAGAGGAGGGATAGGGATAGAGAAGGAAGGGGGGGAGAGGAAGGGATAGGAAAGGAGGGGGAGGGATAGGGAGGGAAGAATAGGGAGGGAAGGATAGGGAAGGAGGGGGAGAAATAGGGAAGGAGGGGGAGGGATAGGGAGGGAAGGAGAGGGAAGGATATGGAGGGAGGGAGAGAGAGAGGGAGAGAGACAGAGAGAGAGACAGACAGACAGACAGACCGACAGACAGACAGACAGACAGACAGACAACCAAACAGAAAGACAGAGACAAACAAACGAAAAACATAAAGAGCAAAAAGACAAAGAAGAGGAAAGACAAAGACACAGAGAAAAAGAGAGGGAGGCCAGCCCTTGTTTCGTAGTCCACGCACGAAGGCAATTTTCAGGCCTAACGCCCTTAAGGGAAACGTGTTCTTCTTCCGCTTAATTCAATTGCGGACGATTTTTAGACCGAGAGCTTAATCTGTGTTGCTTCCGCCGCGCATGCTGTCTGTTTGATCTTGCTTGATTATTTATGAGTGTTTGTTTTGCAAGAAAGGGCGGTGTGTGTGTGTGTGTGTGTGTGTTTGTGTGTGTGTGTGTGTGTGTGTGTGTGTGTGTGTGTGTGTGTGTGTGTGTGTGTGTGTGTGTGTGTATGTGTGTGTGTGTGTGTGTGTGTGTGTGTGTGTGTGTGTGTGTGTGTGTGTGTGTGTGTGTGTGTGTGTGTGTGTGTGTGTGCGTGTGTGTGTGTGTGTGTCGGGGATGCAGTGGGGTTATGTGTGCATACCTATTGCATAGATATACATAAATACACATAAATAGGTTCTCTAATCCACTCAAAATTTCCATCACCGTGATATTCCAGTTTAGCTAAAACTCAGAGACTCTATTCTGATAATGAATGTATGGCAAACAAGCTTTAAAATACCATCACATTATTCCATACATTATCGAGAGAGATATTTGATTTTCATTATCCACCTGTGATACAAACTAAACATTGTCGTCAAAAGATGCATAAATCAGCGAAGGTTTTCATGGTTGAATAATATACGTATGCATTATCCTGCTTGTCAGAGATGGAAAATGACAGAAGATTAACAATCTTGCTACACTCGTCTCTCAAGAAGAAAATTTATTGTTATTGTTATTGTTATTCTTCTTATTATTTTTATTGTTGTTGTTGTTGTTGTTGTTATTATTATTGTTATTATTATTATTATTATCATTATTATTGTTATTATTATTATTATTATTATTATTATTATTATTATTATTATCATTATCACCATTATCATCATCATCATCAATATCGTTATTATCATTAGTAGTAGTAGTATTGTTGTGATTAAGGATTATTGTTTTTATTATTAGCATTATGATTGTTGTCATTATTATTATCTTTTATCATCATCATCACCCTGATCATCATCGTCATCATCATAATGATCATTATCACTATTATCATTTTTATTTTTATAGTTGATTTTACCATCGTTCTTACTATCCTTGGAAATTCCACTTGGCAACAAAAATTAAGATTTATTTCTCCCCTATCCTCTTCTTTTTCACGCCCCTCCTTCTATTTCTCGTCTTCTCTCTCCATTTCCCTCTCCCCCTGCCTCTCCCTCTCCTTCTCTGCCTCTCCCTCTCCCTCTCACTCTCAAATGTTACTTCAATTCCTTCCTCCCTTCCCACTTTAAGCCCTTGTTATCAGTATCTTATTTTTTATTTGATTATATGTTTATCATCATCACTATGATCATCGCCAGCGCCACCACCATCATCGCCACTACCACTCCAATCACCATTATCATCATCAATGTTGTTATTATCATTAATATTGTTATCATCAATATTGTTATTATCATTAATATTGTTATCATCATCATCACCATCATCATCATCATCATCATCATCATCATCATCATCATCACCATCATCATCATCATCATCATCATCATCATCATCATCATCATCATCACCATCACCATCATCATCATCATCATCATCATCATCACGATTGTTATTATCATTAATATTTTGTTATGATCATCACCATCATCATCAAATCATCACCCGATCAGTACTAATGTTCCTCTGTCTTCTTTCCAGGCTGCATATCCCAAGTGCTGTGCAGCGGGACAGAAAATTTCATGTGGTATTTGCTGTTTATCGTCTTCGTCACATACTCTATGTTGCCGCTGCCTCTCCGCTGGGGTATGTTGGCTGGGTCTCTCACAGCCCTCATTCACCTTATAATCACTCTCATTATCGTAAGTATAACGATTTTTTTTTTTTAATGTGTGGTTGGTAACTGTTGTGTGAGGAAGAGAGGAGTGTGCTGTGGGATTTGCTTTGCATTCGTGTATTCATGTGTATTTGACTTAAATTAGATATGTTGTAGGGTTTCATGCGTTTGGTGTCTCTTCTCTTCTCTGTATCTGCTTTTGTCTGTCTGTTTGTCTGTCTGTCTGTCTGTCTGTCTGTCTGTCTGTCTGTCTCTGTCTGTCTCTCTCTCTCTCTCTCTCTCTCTCTCTCTCTCTCTCTCTCTCTCTCTCTCTCTCTCTCTCACGCACTCACGCACACACACACACACACACGCACACACACACACACACACACACACACACACACACACACACACACACACACACACACACACACACACACACACACGCACACACACACACACGCACACACACACACACGCACACACACGCACACACACGCACACACACGCACACACACGCACACACACACACACACACACACACACACACACACACACACACACACACACACACACACGCATACGCACGTACACGTACACACACATCCTAGGCCAAAATCTACCGTTTTTTTCACGATCTTCCAACGACACTCAGCCCTCATTTCCTGCCACTGAGACGCAATTGCCCTAACCACTATTACCAATAAGATGAACGATCAGTAAAGTTGTATATCATTTCCACAAAGTAATTGGACTGTCTTTTTGTACTTTTTTGTACGTTTTTTTTCGTTTTTTTAGGCCTACCGGAAGTGTGTCTTCCGCATCCCCGACTTATTTCCATATTAAATGATCATCGGTTTAGCACTATCTTCACGCTTTTCTTTTATATTTCTATGGCCTACTTTTATGTGTGTGTGTGTCTCTGTTTGTATGTATATATGAACATATGTATGCATGCTTGAAAAAAAAATGTATATATTTGTCAGTATATATAGTCTTGTATATCGTCGATATCTTTATCTATTTGGCCATTCATATGCTTTACTTCGATTTTTTTTTATCCATGTTATCCATTTATCCATGAGCCGTTGCAATTGCTACTGTTGTTATTATCTTATATATTACCACCCTTGCTACAGCACCAGAAACTACCACTGTAACTACCTCTTGTACTATGATTATTACTACTATTATTATTTTTTTTTTCTTCTACACCAACAACCCTACAAGCATAACTACGACAAACCACAGCTGCGACTTTAACTGCCCAACCACCGCCACCACCGCCGCCACACCCAATATTAATAATGGTAATCCGGGATTCGGCTCCATACTTCCATCTTAAAGAAATTTAATCGTAAAAGAAATAGGGGGGACTGAGGAAAAGATCTAGATTAACATGTCGCGCGCAGTTTCGGGTGTGAACGTCCTCCTTACGCGGGTCTGTGCGGGGGGAAGGGAGGAGGGGATGGAAGGAGGGGATAGGGGAAGGGAGGGAAGAGAGAAAGGGGAGAGGGAGAAGCGGGTTGGGGATGGAAGGAGGGGATGGGGGAAGGGAGGGAAGAGAGAAAGGGGAGAGGGGGAAGCGGGTTGGGGATGGAAGGAGGGGATGAGGAGAGAGGGAAGAACAGGAGGGGAAAGGGGGAAGCGAGTTGGGGATGCAAGAAGGGGATGGGGGAAGGGAGGGAAGAACGGAGGGGAGAGGGGGAAGCGGGTTGGGGATGGAAGGAGGGAATGAGGAGAGAGGGAAGAACGGAGGGGAAAGGGGGAAGCGGCTTGGGGATGGAAGGAGGGAATGAGGAGGGAGAGAAGAGAGAAAGGGGAGAGGGGGAAGCGGGTTGGGGATGGGAGGGGATGGGGGAAGGGAGGGAAGAAAGGAGGGGAGAGGGAGAAGCGGGTTAGGGATGGAAGGAGGGAATGAGGAGGGAGGGAAGAGAGAAAGGGGAGAGGGAGAAGCGGGTTGGGGAGGGGAGGAGTGGATGGGGAAGGGAGGGAAGAAGGGAGGAGAGAGGGAATGAGAGAGGGAAGAAAGGAAGGGAGAGAGAATGAGGGATGGAAGTAAGGAGGAGAGAGAGAATGTGGAGGGAGGGAAGAAAGGAGGGGAGAGGGGATGAGGAAGGGAAGGGAGAGGGAATGTGGAGGGAGGGAAGAACGGAGGGGAAAGGGGGAAGCGGCTTGGGGAGGGAAGGAAGAGATGGGGAAGGGAGGGGAGAAGGGATGAGGGAGTGGGGAGGAAAGGATAGGGACGGGAAATGGATTGGATGGAGATGGTGAAAGGAGGAAGGGGTGGGGAGGGAATATGGATGGAGATGGGGAAGGATGGGAAGAGAGAGAGAGAGAGAGAGTGAGAGTGAGAGTGAGAGTGAGAGTGAGAGTGAGAGTGAGAGAGAGAGAGAGAGAGAGAGAGAGAGAGAGAGAGAGAGAGGAGAAGAGAGAGAGAGAAGAGAGAGAGAGAGAGAGAGAAAGAGAGAAGAGAAGAGGAGAGAGAGAGAGAAGAGAGAGAGAGAGAGAGAGAGAGAGAGAGAGAGAGAGAGAGAGTGAGAGTGCGAGTGCGAGTGCGAGTGCGAGTGCGAGTGCGAGTGAGAGTGAGAGTGAGAGAGAGAGAGAGAGAGAGAGAGAGAGAGAGAGAGAGAGAGAAGCTGGAGAGGGACGGAAGAGCACATTAAGGAGAGGGGGAAAACGCGGAGGGAGGGAGAGTAAAGGAGGGGAAATGGCTGTGACGGCTCCGAAAGTGAGAGGCCTTGTTGTGTGTTGATCGAAGAGGAGGGGAGAGTAAGAGGGGAGAGTGAGGGGAAAATAAGGACGTGAGGGGAGGTTTAGCGGGATTTGCAACAGTTTTATGTGGCAGAGATTGATGTAAAGCTACCGCGTTTAGCCGCAAGCTTTTATATTTTTTTATTTGGTAATATTGTGTTATTTTTCACTGTCATGTTCATATATCTTTGTTATATCCATATTATAAATGTACTTGTCCGTTCGCACGTTGCGTTTGTATTTTACGCCTAAAACGTGCGTAAAATCAATTCATTTTGGTGTAAAATGAGGTGATAGTTGATAACATAAATATTAAATAATGACACGAACAAACACACACACACACACACACACACACACACACACACACACACACACACACACACACACACACACACACACACACACACACACACACACACACACACACACACTACAAATCAATGAGAACGCTGTTCAATCACTGCTATTATCTTTATCATTATTATTCTATTATCATTCACCTGATATTTCTATGATTGTTGTTGTTATTATTATCGTTATTGATATTATCTTTCTTCTTCGAGGCAAGTACACTGCACTGAAGAAGTTAGACCGTCAGTTTATGCACATTTTTTAGTTCTACGACTATCCGAGGAGGGAGGTTACGAAGGAAAATAGGAGGAAAAGGAGAAAGGAAGGGAGAGGGGGAAAGAGAGGGGATCCTTCCTCTCCCTTTCTTCCTCCCCTCCCTCTCTCCCCCATTCCTCTTCCCGCTCTGCTACTCCCTCTTACTCCCAAGTTTTCCTTAAATTCTCTCCTCCCTTCTCACTTTAAGCCCTACCTCTGCTCCCTCGCACTTCCCTCCTCTTCCTCTTTAAACTCCCGCACCTCCTCCTCCTCCTCCCTTATCTCCCTCCCTCCCACTCCCATTCCTCTTCTTTCTCTGAGGGAGGGGAACGGTGCCCCCCCCCCCTTTCTCCCCTACCTTTCCCCCCCCTTCCCCTCCCATCTTATTACTTAACCTCCTCCTCGAAGAAGAAATGTGATTCCGGGCTTAGGATTATTATTATCATCATCGTCGTTATTGCTATTGCCATATGTCATTATCATCATAAATATCCTCCTCCTCCTCCTCATCATCATCATCATCATCATTATCATCATCATCATCATATTATTATTATTATCATCATCATCATCATCATCATCATCATCATCATCATCATCATCATCATCATCATCATCATCATCATCATCATCATCATCATCATCATCATCATCATCATTATCATCATCCTCATCATCATCATCATCATCATTATCATTGAAGGCATTTTTACTATTATATTTTACTCTGTTAGTATTGTATTTAATCAGTATCTGAAGGTAACTGAAACTCAAAATTAATACAGAAAAAAAATATTAGATTAAATTGCGCATTGGAAATCAACATTCTTGAAGAATTATTTTACGGCTCTTTTGAGTAAAGACAGACAATGTACTGAAAATAGGAACAAGATAGTGAAGATGAAAAAAAGAAAAAGAAAAAGGTAAAGAAGAAAAGAAAGATGAAAAAGGAAGAGAAAAAGAAAAAAAAAGAAAAAAAGAAAAAGGAGTGACGACAGGAGAAAGGAGAACAGAAGGGTTGAAAGAAGAGAGGAAAGGAGAGAGGGGAGAGAGAGAAGAGAATAGAAGGGAAGGAAGAGAAGAGTAGAATAAAATAGAGAAGAAAAAAAAAGGAAAATAAAGAAAAGAAACATTAACTCATTTAACCCACCCGGAAGTCGGCCACCAAAACATTACCCCCCGTCCCCCCCCCAAAAAAAAAAAAAAAAAAGAAAGATCTTGCATCAAAAACAAATTAGAGAGTTAACAGCAACGGACACTGACGAGCATCGACCCATTCCTAAGTCATTAGTGGCTTCGTTTAGCATTTGATAAGCGTACGACAGAGTAACAATGGGAGCAGAATATAACTGGAATTAGCAAGACCGATAAGGGAAGCTCTTGTGAGACTATAATGGGTTTGATTAAAGTTCAGGTATGTGATAAGAAATTAGGGATTATATGTTTATTTATATGAGGGTCTTTATTCATTTTTGCTTTATTAAATCTTTTGATGTATGTATCTATTTCTTTGTTTATTTATCTTTTTATGTATTTATGTTCTCGTTTGCATGTTTCTATTTTTTATTTTTTAAAATTAATTCATTCAGTAATTTTAATAATAATTAAAGATATTTCAGTTGTGTAAGTTGCGCGAACGAGATAAAAAGAGTTTTGGAAATTGAGTCACCTCAGTGTGTG